TTACTATTCTTGTAAATAATTATCACAACAAGGCCAAGTTAATACCTGCTATGGAATAGGGAAGAAAGGTAAATTAAACAATAAATATAATCAAATAAAATTACATCATTTATATATCATCTTATTTCAGCTTTATCAACTTTATGAAAAATTGGACAGCAACAAAAAAACCAGCGTTTATGGACGTAGCATTTACATCCGAGAGATCTATTGAGGATGAACTGAATCGTGAATCTCAATCGGATATTGTAACCATTTTGGTGTCATACATCATCATGTTTGGATATATCGCGGTATCTCTCGGTCAAATTAGATCCTGTGCTCGTCTTTTGGTGAGAATCCATGTTATCATACATTCTTACTTTATATTTTTTATCTTATTTAATAACTTTCAAATTGAATTGCATTTTTAGAACGATTCTAAGATTACTCTTGGACTTGGAGGCGTACTTATAGTATTGGCATCGGTGATCTGTTCGGTCGGATTATTCGGTTTTATTGGTATACCAGCTACACTGATTATCATCGAAGTTATTCCATTCTTGGTACTGGCAGTCGGAGTAGATAATATTTTCATTCTCGTTCAAACTCATCAAAGAGAAGGAAGACGCCCGAATGAATCGATACCGGACCATATTGGTCGTACATTGGGCCAAGTTGGTCCCAGTATGTTACTCACAAGTGTATCGGAAAGCTGTTGCTTTTTCCTTGGTAAGTGTCAAAACATTAAATAACATATGTATATAAATTGAAAAAAACAATAAAAATTTTGTGCAAATAAGTTGATGAATTAATATTTCTTTTATTTACAGGTGGTCTCTCTGATATGCCTGCTGTGAAAGCGTTTGCTCTCTATGCTGGAATGGCATTATTAGTAGATTTTATATTGCAGATTACATGTTTCGTCAGTCTCTTAGCGCTTGACACGATCCGACATGCAGTATGTTTAAGGAATTATTTATTTTGTTAAATTATTTTATTTATTAAAAGTTTATATAAATATATTTGTTTTAATTTATTTGAAATGTTAACAGAATTTTGTAGAAATGTAATTTTTTTCGTTATTTTATTTTCTTTTTTGCTTATTTCTCTTTCATTATATTCATGATTATATTATAAATGTCTATATTGTATGAAACGTCTTTATAATTTCAGAATAACAGATTAGACGTATGTTGTTTTATTCGTTCCAAGCGTGATGATGGAGAAGAAGTAGTAGATGGAATATTATATAAAATTTTCAAAGTTGCATATGTCCCATTATTGCTCCAAAAATGGGTACGCGCGATTGTGATGATTGTGTTTTTCGGTTGGCTATGCAGTAGTATTGCTGTAATACCACACATCGAAATCGGCCTAGATCAAGAACTTTCTATGCCCGAAGATAGTTATGTGCTCAAATATTTCAAAGTATGTATCAATAGAACATAAATACAATTGAACTGAACACGAATCATAAAATAAAAATTTTATCTTTTAGTTCTTAAATAATTATCTATCTATCGGGCCACCAATGTATTTCGTTGTTAAAGATGGCCTAAATTATTCAGATACACAAGTACAAAACTTAGTGTGCGGTGGACAATATTGCAATAGCGATTCAGTATCGACGCAAATATTTACAGCATCTAAACAACCGAACAGGTATATCACAATACAGAAGAAAAAATGTTACAAAAAAATCTGATTTAAAGTTTATTTATATTTAAATTTCACTAAAATATTTTATTATTCATTATTTTATATATTATTTTTTTTAGGACTTACATAGCTAAACCTGCTGCGTCTTGGATGGATGATTATATCGATTGGTCAGGATTACCCGGTTGTTGCAAATATTTCTCTGCGAATAATTCGTTCTGCCCGCATACTGGTATCTAGTTTATTTATAAAATTAATATAGTTATATATATTATATCTTCCTATTTTAATTCAGTTGTTTTATTTATTTTTGGATTGCAGGTCGCTCTTGTTCTGTCTGTAATATCACATTGAATAAATACAATAGACCGATACCCACCGACTTCGATAGATACGTATCATTCTTTTTACAAGATAATCCCGATGATACATGTGCTAAAGGAGGTCATGCGGCTTACGGACACGGTGTAAATTACGTTACTGATCCTAACACAGGAATGTCAACAGTCGGTGCTTCATATTTCATGGCTTATCATACGATTCTTAAGACTTCAGCCGATTATTATGAATCGATGAGAGCAGCCAGAGTAGTGGCGGCGAATATTACGAACATGATCAACTGTAACTTGAAAAAACTCAATGCAGAGAATACTAGTGTAGAAGTTTTTCCCTATAGTGTTTTCTACGTATTTTATGAGCAATATCTGACTATGTGGCCCGACACATTGCAAAGTATAGGAATCTCATTACTTGCTATATTTGTGGTTACCTTCTTATTAATGGGTTTAGACATCTTCTCATCACTCGTGGTTATAATCACCATCACAATGATCGTCGTCAATATCGGTGGCTTGATGTATTGGTGGCATATAACTTTGAACGCCGTATCTCTAGTAAATCTTGTTATGGTAAGTTAATTGTTATCAGAGAACATAAATTTCAATTTATATTAGATCTATCATTGTTAATATATCTGAACATTTTCAATAGCTGTATATTTTAAAATTTGAAAATTACGATAAAGTTTATGAATTAAATAACTAAATAATCATTATAAATTTGTTGATGATTTTCTCGTGTTTTATTTTTAATTGTTTTATATATTTTTATATTATCGCATCTTAACATATATATATATATATATATATAATAAGTAGGATCCAGATGTTCGTGCGATTTCTCGTGCCACGCGCGGAGCACCGTTGCGTGCGAGTAAGTCGAGTGTTCGCTAAAGTGAGATAGCAATATTACTCTTTATCTTTTTTTATATTTTTGGATACTATATTGTTTACTTTCAATATATTTAATCTATGTTATATTTTAAGATTTAAAAAGTAATATGGTTTTAAAATATTTGTACTTCTAATAAAATTCAAACATATTGTTTTCTGTATTTTGTTTACGTTTAATAGACTGCGCACTAGCTGAAATCATTAATTCGGATTACGTCAAGTCGAGCGTCGGGTTTCTTTGAGAAATGTTACTATCTCACTTTAGCGAGCTCTCGACTCACTCATATGCAATGGTGCTTCACTTGCGGCACGAGAAATCGCACGAACATCCGGTACCTAATAATAATTATTGTGTAATTATATTTTTATAATATTAATAAATTGAAAAAAGAACCAAAGAAAACATGAAAATGTAGGATATATAGCTTTAAAACATCTATCGATGTTATCAATATAAAATCAATGTAATAGTTAAAAATATATCATTTGAAATTAATTTCTGTTATAGGCTGTTGGTATAGCAGTCGAATTTTGTAGTCATCTAGTACATTCCTTCTCGGTATCAGTTCAAGCAACTAGGGTTGACAGAGTTGCAGATGCATTGACAAATATGGGAAGCTCCGTATTTAGCGGTATTACATTGACAAAGTTTGGCGGCATTATAGTATTAGGATTTGCAAAGAGCCAAATTTTCCAGGTTGATCTTCATTTTATTTTAACATTAAATAGAATGTCAATTGTTTAATAATCCATATTATTAATTGTTGCAACTGAAAAGTATGCTTGGTATGCTTCTTAGTTTCAGTAATTTAAAATATTAAAAAATGTACACATGCGCATGCATACATGTATATACACATATAATGGATATATA